TTAAAGGAATACAACTACCTTCTATAATTAAGTATTCTTACACTGAAAAGTGTGTGTGTGTGTTTATTTTCCTGGTGATTGAACATAGGGCCATTTACTTGCTAGGCAAGCAGTCTACCACTAAGTTACACCCCAGCCCTTGTAATAAGACATCTTACAGTCGGGGAGGTAGCTCAGTAGAATAAGCATCTGCCTGGCAAGCTCAGGGTCCTGAGTTCAATCTCCGGTACTGGGGGGGGGGAATATATATATATATATATATATATATATCTTAAATACAAGTTAGTTAATTTTTCCCCATATGAAGTTTTACTATGAGATCATATCTATTCAACTTTACATAGAACAGTATAGAGCATTTGAGATGTCAATTTCCTTTCGTTTCACCAAAATAATATAGATGAAAACAAATTACACATAAAAATCAACAACCAGGGACCGCATATTATGGTTTAGTGCTTACCTAGCACTATGAGGCCCTGGGTTTGTTTCCAAATACTGAAGAAATCAACAATTGTTACCCTTCTTACTGCTGCTGTACTTCACAAAAGTTAAAATACAAAAAATTTTCACAGGTATGTTTATTGCTAATATATAACTACACATAATTATGGGCTGACTACTTGATGTTTAAGTTATGGATAACCTCCTGAAACAGACCTCTTTTTACTATAAGTGTTAACTTGTAATTTTACCTCTTTCAAGTAAGGTAGTACTTAACACTGTGGTGCTAATCTTGAAAACTATCCAAGAACAAATTATGTGCTTATTTGAAAATGTGTAAACCAAAAATAAAGAGGATTAGCTGGAGATATCTAAATCTATTGAAATTTTCTGAACATTTAGTTAAGTTATACCAGTTACAGCAGGTCATTGTATGACTTAATCCAATTTTTTAATAACCCAATTTTTAAAAAGCTAAATATCTAATAAATAGAATATTTTTGTGTTTAAGAGGCAAAAATTGGGGACTGGCAAGATAGCTCTGTGGCATAAGTGCTTGCCTGGCAAGCGCAAGGTCCTGAGTTCGATCCCTGGTATTAAAAAAAAAAAAAAAGGCAAAAATTAAATTGTTACTTCTTTTCCTTTAAACAATTCTAGTTTCCCTGAGAAGTTGCACACTTTTTTTAAGTTTTATCAAACATGGAAAAATTAAAATATGGTAAGTAGAAAAAAAGTCAAATATTAAAACTATTAGTCAGTTATAGACCCATTCTCATGCCATCTGCAGACACCTAAATGTTTTACCAATATACTATTATTTTCATGAGTTCTAAAACAGGATAAAAATGTAATTGCTTAAATATCTAAACTATTATCTTCATAATAGTGATTGATCAGACTGTAAGTCTATTGATACAGCTTCCACAGACAGATATCCATGAAAATATTACTTTGTAATTCTTCCCTCTTAAAAGAAACAATACTGGGGCTGGTGAGATGGCTCAGTGGTCTAAAGCACCTACTTAGAACAAGCTAAATTAAGCAAAGCAAAGCACAGGGACCGCGGTTCAATCCCCCAGCACCACATGCCAGCCAGCCCCGCCCCCTGGTGGGCTGAGCTGGCCACACACACACAAAATAAATAAATAAATAAATAAAATAAAATAAACAATACTTCCTATTTGCTCCTGTTATGTAAAAGAAATGTATACTTTGAGCATAACAAATCTATAGTTCTCACCTTTGTTAACATCAAAGTGGGAAGTTTTTTAGTTTTTTGAAAGAAGCTGGTAAACTACACAGGCTAACCTCAACTTGAAATCCTCCTGCTTCAACCAACTGAATAGGGGAGGTTGCAAGAATGTTTTAAGTACTGGAAGTACTAAAGTACTGATTCAAAATCTGTCCCTTGACCTCCCAATACTGATTCAACATGGAAAATAATCAGAAATTACAAAATTTAGTTTACCTATACTTTATAAAAAGCTGGGGAGGGGGTTGCTTTTATACTCCTTCAAAACTTTTATGTTGGGTCCCCAGTTCCGCCAAAAAAAACCACACACACACACACAAACACATACATAAAATAGCAGAGATAGACATACTGCCAGTTTCTCTTAGCTCACTGAAAAGAAAGGTTTGTGCTAATATTTCTAGGACAATATCTCATGCTTATATCTTGTACCCTGAGTGAGTACTGTAAAGATAACAATATGCAATGTATAAATTATTGTAACTCTATTATCTTGTTTTGAAACTCTGATTTTTTCTTTTTATAATAAAGTTTAAAAACTTTATGTTGTGATTTTTTTTAATTAAAATTGCTTATGAATCTTTTCTTTAAAAGAAATACCCAAACTTTCCTTCCTTTCTACAGCATCAGCCTTTAGGAACTTTACTATCCTGAGTTATAATATAACATACCTGAGAAACAAAGAGAAAATATGTAGAATTATTTATTTGAGGCTTTTTTTGAGACAGGGTCTCACTATTCAGTTTGGGCTGGCCTTGAACTAGCTATGTATCCCAGGCTGGCATGAACCCAGAACAATCCTCCTGCCTCAGCCTCTCAAGAGCTGGGATTACAGGCACACACCACAATGTCCAGCTAGAATTGTTAATTACCACCACTTAGTAATAAAACTGAATCAAAATTGAGGTTATCAACTGAAGAACATGATTACTACCCAGCTACATGAGATAACTTCTTCACTCATTCCTCAGTACTACTTTTATAAAACCCATCTTATATAGTAAATCCCATACAACTTCAAGTTTAGAAGATGAAGAGTCTCTAGTTTTACTTATTATCACATGATTTGTGTCAAAATACAGAATGTAAAACGATACAGAATGGAATATTCTTATCTTGCACACTTACTACTATAAATTAAATGTCATAAAAATAAAGATTACACAGCTCATGGGTTCTCAAATACCATTACCTAAAAATAAGCAATTCAGACTCCTAAACCGGGTGTGGTCAGGCTCACATGTGTAATCCCAGCACATGGAAGGCTGAAACAGGAGACTCACCTTCAGTTCAAGGCCACCCTGGACTACACAGTGAGTTCAAGACCAGCCTGTACTACATAAAGAGACTCTGTCTCCAAAACAATTTTTTTGTTATACTCCTATTTTCATCTGTGAAATCCAAAGTGAAACAGAAAATGTTGGTATGTGTTTTTCTTAGGGTCCCTGAAGCTATAAAGAACCCACCATAACCACAGCAACTATCATATTATTAAAAAAAAAAAACTAATTTAAATGTGGTCTGAATCACCCATAAATCTGATTTCATTTTGAACTTGACATTTTAATCACTTTTAAAAATGCTTCCCTAAGACTGTGGATTTAGCTTAGTGGTATAGCACCTGCCTGGCAAGTGCAAGGTCATGAGTTTGATTCCTAGTACCAATAAATAAATCAAACAAGCAAACAAGCAAGCTTCTCTCTCACTTGCCCCTTCAAGTTCAAAAATCCTTTCAAATCCACCTATTGCAATAAAGTAGACACTTAAATTTATCGTTTTCACTTTAAAATATTTTAAACAAGAATCTTAAAAGGTAATTGATCTAAACTCTTAGCAAGATTAAGGTGTATATACTAATACATTCATTTTGTTTTTAATAGTAAAGCTGTACACCTTAATTATCTGTTTATTCAGTTCATTCTTTGTAAAACATATACAAACCCACAAATGATTAACTACTTTCAAATAAGCAAAACTTTCTCAATCCAATGTCACTGTATTCTGGCACAGAATAAATTTACATTTCATATTTATAAAACAAAGTGGTGTGCTATTGTTTGAATATGAAACACAAGCTTCATTGATTCTCAATAACCAAAAGCATATTGCTCTACAAAACAGGGCAATGTACTAATCTTCAAAGGAAAAGAATTTCAAATATGATTTACCTGGGGAGAAGAGAACTAGATGTTTGGGGTTTGTGTATGTGTACCTGCACTTGTGAAACAACCTCTTCCCAACTGTTCAAAAATCAGTATGTTCTTCAATAAATGTAAGTATACACTAGGTAATAAATGCGTAAAGATAACGTGTATTCCAGGACATAACAATCCAAATAGAAAAAAATGTTCTAATTTTTCACGTAGCAAGTCAATGTTAAACAATGTCATTTTTTTCTCTTTCTCCCAAACCATTCCACAAATTAGATACACCGTATTTACTTGCTTAATAATATTAACAAACTGACTAGAAGCTCCAGAGCAAGAGGAAAAGAAAAAGAAACCATTTTCCATTTTCACAGAAACAAAAATAAAATAAAACAAAAGAGAATCTGAGGACTTGTTAAATGAGAAGCATTTGAAAAAACCCAACGTGACCAGCTTTTGATTTACCCCAGCCTGACAAGGAAGACAAACCCCACCCCCACTCCAGATTGTGTGGGTTTTTTTCCTTGGGTGGGGGTGTAGAGAAGAGAAGCTGTCACATTTCCATCTTCGGTTATTGTTAGTCCGCAGCCTAGATTCCCAGGCATCACTGGTCCAGAGGGAAAAAATTGTACAGCAGACAATTAAAATTGTCTGAAACGCACAGTATTATGTTTTTGCTGCTGCTTTTCTTCCCCCATGTTAAAGTTAATTACACCCAGATTCAATCTGCCAGGACTACAGATTGGCTGACAGCCTGTCCCTCAAACAGTCCAAGGCTTGCTCCAGATTGACTTAACAATTCTCTCCTCTTAAAACTTAAATTACAAACATGCATTTCCGAAATTTTTAGATCGAAAAAGGCACATCTTCCCATCCTGTTTGCCTTTGAAGTGAGAAACAGAATGAAGAGTAAAAGGCGAGAGACCTATTTATTTGCTCTTGGAGACAAAAAGAAACGGGGATAGAAAGTCAGTGGAGTAAAGAGCGGCTGTAGACCTGAACAGAAATGTTGAGAAAAGTTTTTTTACGTGACTTGTTTGTTCTCTCGCAGGATTACTGGAGTTGGGCAGAAAGCCGCGGTCTCCACTCGGTTAGATCAGGGGAGGCACCTGCAGAAGGGAGGTCAGGGACCGAAGAGGGGCCGGACCAGCACCTACCGACTTGCAGCACGTTCTCTACGGAGCCGCTGTCCAGCAGACGGATGCCCCGGC